CACAGGGCATCAGGGTTCAGGCCTGGACTGCCTTTCCCAGCATGTTGGACTGCCTCCCACCTCCCACAGCCGTTCCCTGGAGGAACAGCCTTTTCTGGCCTTTTGGTCAGGCAGTGTGCTAGGCACCGTGTTAGCTGCTTGGGAAGAATGCCACGCCTGGCAGCTCCCCCTTCACCCTCCTTTACGACAGCCCTCAACATGCGCTGTCACTCTCCATTTACGTGGCCACAGTGCAGGGTGGGTACACGGTAAATCCAGAAGACACCTGGTGACTGAGCAGCATAACTCAGGAAGGAGGAGAAATCAAGGTCAGCACAGTATTTCTGTAATGACTCTGTACTTTTAGGTTGAGTTAGGCAATATCCTCTTGCTAAGATTGGTATCAACTCTGAGACATATTGTATTTAGTTGTAAAGTCCCAGTTAAATTCCTTTGTACAACTGGAGAAATAAAGCCTTTGATTAAAAACTAAAATTTCCCCCACCCTCAAAACAGGGCTGGGGGAGGGGAGCAGGTGTGGAAGGATGTCTGATCTGCCATACTCTTCGGTGAGAGCCATAAACGTGTTTGGGTAAGACAAAGTGATGTTCTGATCACGTTGATAAAAGCAGCTTGAAGATCGGGTCACAGGAAGCCCAAGATAAATGCTGAGAGGAAGCTGGTTCTTTTTGAAGTAGCCTCTTCATAATCATTTTCCCACACGTTTGTTCAACTTCCGAAGGAGGACTGAGTATCTGATTTGCTTTGCAAATGACACAGCTGAAGAATGCGACATTCAGATAATGTTGTAACAAATGTGTTCAGAGGGGGGGCTTGGCTGGCTGTGAGTTGTGGCTTCAGAGCCCTGTCACTGCTACCGTAGGCACAGGCTACTGAGGGCCCTTAGGCTGATACTGGGGTTTTTGCTTTGATTTCTGGGAGTTCTCATGAGAAGATGGGATGGACAACATGTTGCTGACACCAGGGCAGGTCTTTAATTTTATTTATCTTCATGTTCTACACACATATTAGAGTTTTACATAAGCTAGCAGTCGGGACAAGGAAGAGAGCAAGCCCTGAAATGTCTCCTCTCCTCTGCAAAAAGCACACAAGTTCTTTGAAACTTGCCAACAAATCAGAACTTCTGGACCCCTTTGTAACGATAAGGCTCTAGCATGGTGCTTGGTAATCATTAAGTAGTTATCAAAAGAACCCATGATTAACACTAACCCAAGCAATGATATTGTTTAGGAGATATTTTAATCTCATTAAAATTGTGAAGAGATCATGATATTGCCACCACTCAAAAATGTCTCCTTTTACCTTTTAGTGAGATACATTCTGCACACATACTTATTTACGTTTCTGTTCTCAGCACTAATGAAAAGAATAACAAAACTTGGATAAAAATATTTTTGGTGAAAACTAATTTTATCAATGAGAAGCACATTTAAAAATCTCTCTTCCCATTTTCTGTTAAAGACTCACACCAGCATGACAGTTTCTGGGTGTGAAATTAAATAGGTGTGTTTTTCACCCCCCCCCCCCCCCCCCCCCGCCAAAAAAAAAAAAAAAAAAGTGACATCATAGAGGGGGAAACTGCGTGGCTTCCCTAACCCATTACCCGAGGATTTTTTTTTCATTGATTTTTAGAGAGAGTGGAAGGTAGGGGAGAGACTGAGAGAAACATCAATTTGAGAGACACACTGATTGAATGCTTCCCACGCATGCTCTCCGACCGAGGCTGCAACCAAGGTATGTGCCCTTGACCAGAATCGAACCCGGGACCCTTTAGTCCACAGGCTGATGCACTAACAACAGAGCTAAACTGGCTCGGGCTAAACAGGCCTCTCTTAAACACATGAAACTGAGATGCCAAGTACAAAAAACTGCCTGTTAATATCAGGATGAACATAAACACAAAATAGTTCAATAAAGAAGCAGATCGCTGCTACAGGCATTATGTAAACACTTTTATTTCTTATTTAACCATGCTGCACATGTATATACAATATCAATATGTACAACTTAAACAAATACAATTTATACATAAAATACAATGGAAGTGGGGCTTTTGAAATTAATGCAACAAATTTATTGTACAATTTGTAATTTAGATCAGTATACAGTATTATAGCAATGCTACTGAAGTTACGATTTAAACTAGTCAGACTACAGTGTAAGTTCAAAGGCACTAGGAAGATCTATGTTTTGTTCTAGTATTTTAAATTAAAAATAGCTAAAAAGGAAAACAAATGCATATATTAAGAAATTGGGCAGACACTGGAGTGCTTAAATGTACACTCTACCAATTCCTTAATTCACAGCCCTGTAGGAAACAGAGGGACATTCCTTAAGAGTCAAGGGGAAAGACATTTTAAAAAGACTATGAGGAAACAAAACCCCAAAATCATAATCATAATTTTTCTAAAAATCTTACAGATGAAGTGGCACCCCCCCCAATCCCAAGTGACCTTAAATCTCTTACTGCAAAAAGAAAGGTCCCCTTTTCCTAGAAAGTAGATCAAATGGATTCTATTTGTGGGGTAAACACATGGATTCAGACCTCCCTCCTTGAGTAATCTTATACTTTAATACAAGCACCTAAACAAAAACGAGGACTACGATGATATTTTAATATCCTAACTATCAATATACATAATTACAGAGCTTATTAAAGAATATACCACAACCAATAACATTCTACCAAGGCTCCTTTTAATAAATAATACTTTTTAAAACTAAAGAGAAAATACCCAAACACCTATTTATATGTGCCACTCATTTTAAGTCCATCTATTTCATATAATGAGCAAGTTTGCTTATTTATATCCTTATATGAAATTAACACTGAAGTTACAAAATATTTTAGTTGTGCACAAAGACACAGTAAGTGTGAAGAAACCATAGAACTGCTATGATTGGAGCTAAGAGAATCGCTGTCACGTTAGTGTCCCATGTTTTCATACGGACGAGTCAGGCCTGCCTAAATATATAATTTTGGTATTTCATCAGATGAACAATTATTGTCCATCTGGTATAATAAGTTCTAATGTAAATACTTTTAAAAAACTGCTAAAGTAGCCTATTTTTTTAAAAAAAATTTTAATGCTTTGACTTTTTTTTTAATGTATTTTCTTGATATTTTTACAGAGAGGAAGGGAGAGAGATAGAGTTAGAAACATCGATGAGAGAGAAACATCGATCAGCTGCCTCCTGCACACCCCCTACTGGGGATGTGCCCACAACCCAGGCACATGCCCTTGACCAGAATCGAACCTGGGACCTTTCAGTCTGCAAGCCGACGCTCTATCCACTGAGCCAAACCGGTTTTGGCCTGCTTTGACTTTTTATAAGTTTCTTTTTGTTATTATAGTGGAGTGGAATAGAAAACAATCTAACATACTGGCTTAAGTTTTCTGTGCTGTTTTAGAGCTTAATGTAAAAGCTATTCTTTCTTATTAACTAGATACTTAAAGGCGATAAACATGAACTTCTAAAAAGAAGAAGTATTCATCTTTTCTTTGTATTGGTAAAATTAAGATTTCCCTAGAGTAATTACTAACAGTTAAATGTGCATCTACAATTGCCAAAATATTCTGCTCACAGAAAGCTCTTACAAGACACGTATTCACCTCAAGTCTTCACAGTACGTAAACAGCTGCCTCACAGAGTAAAGTTATAAACTTCTAGCTTACATACTACAAAGAAAACGTTACCAGTTAAATGCAATTCTTATTACCTAGAAAATATGCACCATACACAGGACATTCAGTACACATCTTTGTCATGTACTTTAAATTTATGGACACATTTTTACTACCACCTCACAAGTACACCACCTTTACTCACCCCCACTCTATACATGGCTTTGTAATTATAAACCATTTAACCAAGCTTCTTAAACTAATGTTAACTTAATACTAATTTATTTCAAAATTCACAAAAGATATATTAAGTGGTGTCACATAACATTAAAAAATAAAAACAAAAATTTTGTAAGTAGCCAAAAAGGAAAACACAATTCTATATGGTACAAGTTATTTTACTATAAAATAAATATTATTTTTATTTTTAGAGGAAGATGGTCTGACTGGATTTGTCAATGGAAGAAATTCAGGGAAGAATATTTCTTTTAATAAACTATAAAGAAAAAACAAAACAAAGTATTTTAAAGGTAGAGGATTAAAAGCTATTTTTCTTGCTTTAGTTGTACTTTCTGGGAAATGGAGACTCAATTTTCATCACAATTTAGAACTTAAAAGGAAGCATCCATTAATCACACTTCAAAATAAATTTTTAAAAATATACACGTACAGCAAAGACTAGTGACCAGTATTTAGCTTAATTTCCTGCAACTGTGACTCCTTTATAATTAGGTACATACTCAATGTTTTAAGAGAACATGAAACCAGAACAAAAGTATATTTGATTTAAACTCTAAATGGCAAAAAAGGTCAAGAGAGGTACAGTTCAAACATATTTTCAACATGTACTTCTAAAGATTGACTGTAAATTATAAATTTTCTACAGGTCATCTAATACTTAAAATGCAATAAAGATAACACAAAAATGAGAACATATTTAAACAGGCAGGGCGGGCGTTAGGATTGAATCATTTCTTAGATACGCAGCTCAGACATTCATATATAACAGCAAAACATAGGACAATTAGAACTGCTGCCTATGTGCAAGACAGGACCTACATTTTATTCTATTTTGAACATCCAGTTATGTAAATACACAGGAGTTGAGCAAATTACTAGCAGTTTTATGAATACATTTCGACAGCAACTCTCTATAGTAGGAGCTGCTCCCCCAACTTCCCTGCATAGTATAAAATGAATAGTGATGTGACTATTTGAACAATTACCAGTTGTGCAATTTCAATGTTATATTGACATATATAGACTAAAAATTATTAGACAAATTACTACTTCCAGTCTCCATGACTTACAGCTTTCATTACTTGAAATTACACGAAAGTCTTCAGTGTTTTAATTAAATATTTTGTCCAGGCATGAGGATAGTGATATTTTTATTGAGACTTTAAGTCTGTAACATTTACTGAAGTAAAGAGTCAATTACAGTTTCAGGCTTTGCAGAACGCTTTCTGTTTGGAGAAGAGAAAAAGAAAACATGAAGACTTTCCTAAAAGACTGAAATGCAAACACTTTACATTATGTAGAAGATAAAACAAGGGGGCATAGAGTCTAGAACCAGGCCAAGGTTTGACCATGTTAAGAGATCAATTCATGCCCACTTTATCAGACTAGGGAAAGGTCACCAAGAATAGGTGCAAGATCATGGCACTCCACCCTCCACCCAGACAGGTGAGAAATTGAGTGGATGATAATTTCCAAAACTGGACTAGACAACGCAGCCAGGCCCAGTGGCTGCATGCTGCCAGACTGAACCTGCTGTTGATCTCTTCCAGGGTGGCTAAAGGTGCGGGTTTATTCAAAGACAACATCATCTGAGGCAATACAGTACAGAGGCACATGTAGGGACTGATGTAAATGCCACATTAATGTACCATGTTTATTGCAATTTTGCTTAGCATATTGCACTATGCATTTCTAATGAGAAACATACATTGAACATTATCATGTAATGTAATATCAATAAACCATTTAGTGTGTATATTTGTCTGTGTTTAAGGCCATCTATGGTTTTCATAACACAGCAGGCTAATTCTGATGCACAGAGATGGTGGGTTTGGCTAATGTAATGTTGGCTCACATGTTTGTTTTGGTTTGTTCGTTTACCAAAAAGGTACATATTTTTAAATGAGTATTCTGAAAACTGTATCCAAATAACATTCAATTGTTTGTTTGCTTTAGGTCCACATCGTTCTTAAAAAGTGACTGAAAATAGAGAGATCTCATTTAAATAATTTGATTTCTGGCTTCTTCTTTGAAACAAGAGGCGTTGGAAACAATGGGCCCTCTAGTCCCAAAACTAACTAGGAGCAAGGTAGCAGCCACTCATTTCAAACAGACTACTTTCCATTTTGTCCCCTCCCCACTGCTGCCTATTTTTCACCTACACTGAAGCCAACTGTCTTACCATTTATCATCACACTTGCATTGTTAGTTTTCTTACTAACTTCAGAGTTAAGAGGAAAATATCTCTATTAAAAGTGGAAAAGTGAAAGGTCTAAAGAGATTCATGTTTCTTTTAACTGCTATGCTTCATTCATTAAGGCATGGCTTCTGCTGGCAGATGAAGAGTTTTTAGCCCTTAGCACATAAATGCTAAAGAATGTAAAATTTGTGCACTTTTAATATGGTACTGATTCCTCCTCCTTGAGTTCAACTATCCCAAATTTATTTTTTTTTTATTATTAGTTAAGGTATTACAAATGTGTCCTTATCCCGCCCCCCCCCATTAACCCTCAACCTCCCCCCGCACACACACTCATGCTCCCATCCCCCTGTTGTCCATATCCATTGGTTTGGCTTATATACATGTATACAAGTCCTTCAGTTAACTATCCCAAATTTATAAATGTTAGGTCATGTCTATGAGATCATGCAACAAAAAAATATTAAACCCATACAACCTCACCTTACATGTAACTCAAAAATCCAAGTGCTCAAAGCAGGGGGTAAAATAAGCTTACTATTCCCTCTCATTTCAGGAGCCCCAAAGTCTTACAATCAGTGTAAATAAGCTCAACAGCACTTGATGGAGGGCAGAGGGAGAAGAATAGCTCCAGCCTCTCACGTCCTGGTTCCCTGGGCTTATGTGGTGGCACATACAGACTACTCAACAGTCAAACCAGCCCCCAAAGGAGAAGAAAAGATGGTCAGAGAAGTTTTCTTTAACTGGTGACTGAGGACATCAAGTGATTGGGACAATGTTTATGATAGAAAAACAAAACAGCTGAATGTAATACTTAAGAGTCTAACCAGGCAAATTAATTAGCGTCTCACTAGAAGAATTAGTGTAAGAATTAAGAATTAAGATAGTAGATGTCTTGGAAAGAACAAAATACATTAAAAATAAAATCTATTATTCAATACAGCTAAAGACGTTGGAAGACCTTAATTCTTTAGCAAGATGTTATTTACTCAAATCATAACTAATAAGAACATTTGTGTGTGTGTGTCAATCCTCACCAGAGGATATTCTTTCCATTGATTTTCAGAGACTGGAAGGGGGAGGGGAGGAGGAGACAGACAAAGAGAGAGCAAAGAGAGGAGAGAGAGAGAGAAAGAGAGAGACATTGATGAGAGAGAGACACATCGACAGGTTGCCTCCTGCACACAGACCAACCAGGGTTGGGAATTGAACCTGCAACCGAGTATGTGCCCTTGACCAGGAATAGAGCCCAAGACCCTTCAGTGCAGGGGTGGACACTCTAACCACTGAACAATGCAGGTCAGGGCAAGAATTGTGATATTTAAATGTATCAGCCAAAATATTTATCATCTTAACTAAATTTCCTTTAAATGTATTTAATTAGCATCTCACTGCCTTGATTTCGTGGGACTCTAAGACAGTCTTACCTTCTCCCTGTCTTTGGCCTTGCTTTCCCCTTTGAAGTCCGTGGCCTCTCCAATTTCATCAGAGACTGTCGCAGGCTCTCCTCGGTGTAGGCAAGATACACATGGGAAAGGTCCACTTCAAAAGGCTTAAGTAAAGGAAACCAACACCAGACAAATCAGATTTGGGGGAAGATTTAAAGCACTGAACAAACTCTAGAAAAAAGCCACAGAAGACAAGACGAAACAAGTATCTAAAGACATCTTCTTTAACTCCACTGATCTCAAATGTATTCAGCCAGGGTTGGTGAGTGAGCCCTGACACACCATAAACTCCTTAGCAGCAGAGCAGAACTGTTGCTGCTTTCCCTAAAGCTGCTCTCTCCTCCTGTGGGCCCAAGACTAAGACTAGCTTTGAAAAGGACATTCTGGTCGCTAAACACATCCCCATGACCCAGAAAGGTGGTGAAGAGAGGGAGTCCAAAGAAGATTCCATGCCACTCTCTGGAGGAGGAACTCCGCCTGCCATCACAACTGTCCTAACAATCGCCCCATCCAAGAGCCTCTATTCCCCCAAATCTACTTGTTTTAGCCCATCTGACTGATGGCATGTTGATCGCATAACAAGTGACCCACAGCCCTATAAATATTTTACACTGTAACTTTTTTTAAAAGCGCTCTTACATCTTTCTCTTTTTTATCAGGAATTGGAGTTTGCTTCCTCATGTTATTTCCTGTGTAGGCAACACATTTCTTGAGGGGGGGAAAAAGAGACAGAGGAGAATTGTTTTAATTAGCCGTTAATACTGTGAATTAGCAAATTATTGTGAGATCTACTGATGCTACACTCATGAAACATAATTTGAATGCTGGAACAGAAAGGGACCTGGAAGTCCTTTGGTACTATGTAGCCCTGCCCATGCCATTTCCACTGAATATTCTGTGTATTATAATAGAATTAATTAGAAAAACATCTCCACCCTACTGCAGTCTCATCTGATTCATCCTATGGACCACCTCTCCCCCCACTGGAGCCAGCAAAATTCCTAGACTACAGGTAGTACTCCACAAGGATTCCATGAAAGGATGAAGGTAATACTCACTAGCTGCCATTCTCCTATGTCTTCATTCCAATGGACATAGTTTTCAATCATTTCCTTTTAAGAGTCAAAGATAGTCTACTTTTAATATTTAATAATACTTAAAACACTGAAAAAATTCATGAAACGAAAATCTTAATAAATTATGGGGGAAATTTTGTCTCAATTATGTACTGCATGATACACTTGTTATAAATTTAAAAATATATGCTTTTAAGAAATATATGTAGATGCAATTAAACTATATAAAAATAAAAAGCAAGGAAATGAAGAACATGATTCAGAATGAAAGTTACCTTGAGTTGGAAGAGGCAAAGGGAGGGAAGTGGGAGAGGGAATCATTTGATTGGAAGTAGGTTACTATATGGTCCTAGCTTTTGTTTGAGGTGATGAGTTCACTACAAAATAACAAATTAAATCAAAGGAGGCCTTCCAGGGCCAATAAGGAGAGTGTACCAAGAACCAAAGGTTAATTCTATACACTTGATGTTCAAAGGAAAAAATACTACAGCTTATTTTTAGACAAACTGCTTACAGCTGTATAGAGATTCAAAGTAAATTTTTAAAAAATCAATATGTTAAAGTTTACTAAAATATACTAGAAAGGTGAATATTTTGAGTAAAGAAAACGTCCTCAGGCCGATGCTCTATCCACTGAGCCAAACCGGCTAGGGTGTCAATAGGTTCTTAGAAACTGCAACTTTAAGCGAAATGATGAGTAATAAAATCAACCTTATTGTAGGCTAACTGATATAAACAAGAGGTAGGTTCCTATAGCCTATTTCTGGTCACAAAAACATCACCAAACTTCTAAATAAAGACCCCAAACTACTAATATTAAACACTGAAATAAATGTGATAATTATATATATATATGAAAGATTAAGATCATTATTTTCCAATTGGCTCATCCAGTTCAGGGAAAAATATTCACAGGATGTTGGAGCTTGTCCAAGCAGCTGAGAGCACGAGGTGAACACCAGCCCTGTTCAGGACGCCCTTCCATCACAGGGCACACCACACACACATACACTCACTCAGACTGGGGCAATGTAGACATGCCATTTACTTCATGTGCACATCTTTGGGATGTGGGAGAAAACCTGAAGACCCAGAGAAAACCCATACAAACATGAGGTAAACATGCCAACTCCATACAGACAGTGGCCCTGGCTGGGAATCAATTTTTTTTTCTTCTCATCAATGATATAACAACGATGACCGAAACAATGTTATTTAAGCACCTTCTATAAATGAATCTGGATTTCTCTAAAAGACTGAGAAGTTCTTATTTAGATACTTAGATACTCAAACAGAATTATGTACTAAGAAAAGTTAATAGCTAAAGTGAAATGTTATGGCATTGATTCAAGAAAATTTTATCGTCAACAACTGAAATGTAAGTATTTACCACCAATTAAATGACAAATTATATTTCCTTATTTCTTAACCCCAGCCAAGTGACCTAATATCTAGGTCAGAGTACTTTCCTCTTACCTGGTAATCCTGAGGTATAAAGTTATCAATAACAAGCATCTGAAGCCGAAGCTCCCGGCTAAGTTGTCGAATGTTCTCCAATAGACCTTCAATTTCCCTCTGATGTTCTTGTTGGAGATCAGCCATCTATGAGAAAATCAATGAAAATATTAAGGACAAACAAGATTTTAAACACAAAATAGTTCAATCTGACATAGAAACCCTGTAAGAGCTTACCCAGTTCTTTCACTAAAACAATGGACAGAATGACACTAACAATGTCTTATTTTATTGTATTTTATTTGAGAGAGAGAGAGAGAGAGATAAACATCGATGTAAGAGAAACATCAACCAGTTGTCTCTTGTACGCACCCTGACAGGGAATCAAACCCACCACCTTTGGATATACAGGACGATGCTCCAACCAACTGAACCACATTGGCCAGGGCCTCACAATGTCTTTTTCACATTATTCGTTAAGGTTAGAAATTTAATTTAAGAGCTAAAATTAAAAACTGCACATCAAGGATAAATTTTTATTTCTTTAAAATTGTAAGCACACATGATTCCTTTCGGATTCTTAATCATACTTAATAAAATAATTATTTTTTTAAAATTCAGAACTACATTAGTAGGTAATTTCTAAGAGACCAACCTCTGACTTTGCAGCCATCAGCATAGTCCAAACTTTCTTTAATTTTTTGGTCTTTCCCTGTGCTTCCTCTTGCAAACTGGTATATTTTTCTTCAATATCCAAGCGTTCTTGCTATGAGAAAAACTGATAAACTTCAGAATAATTTATTCTTTAAATCACAAATTTATTTTTTAAATTTTATTGTTTAAGGTATTACAAATAGTACATGTCTCTCCCCACCCCCACATACCTCCCCCCACCCCAGCGCTTGCCCTCGCCTCCTCGCCCCCAGTGTCTTGCGTCTTTTGGTTGTGCTTATATGCATATTTAACAAATAATATGTTTAGCAGCCATCTTCAAAGCAACCCACGGGTCTGCTTTAAAATGTTATTAAAATTATATTTAGCTTTTCTCTAGAAAAAAAAATGTCAACCAGAACCAAAAAGATACCTCCTTTTCCTCCAATTCTCTTCGAAGTTGCTCTGCTCTTTTCCTCCTTTCTTCCAGTTCCATATTAGATTCTTCAAGAAGTTTCTCTTGTTCCTCAGCTTTCGCCAATAAATCAACACCACCAACAATTACCTTCTTCTCCAGTGCGGATAATTTCTCTAGCAAAGACTGATGCTCTTGTCTGTTGATTAAAATGAGAATACTCCATATTCATCGATTATCTACTATTGTACCAATATCATTTACCAAAATTTAATGAGTTTGGATGCAAAATTTCCAAATAGGAATATGGTTATGCAACATCTCTATCAAATTATACCACTGGATAATTCATTACCGTATGATTTGATCTATAACTAATTCAAATTCACTTAAAATTTTTTCCTCCCACAAAGAGAGGAAATAATCAAAACATGTAATTTTCAGAAATAAAACATACACAATGAAACCGTCTATCCAAAAATGGCTACTCTGGAGATAAAAATCAAGCTTTTAATTATTATTCAATTTTTTTCCTTATACATAAGTCCTCGGAAAAATACAATAAATTTAAAACACAAATCTACATCAATTCAGTAATACTCACTGGGCCTTAAGAAGATCCTTTTCCCGTTTCTCTAATTCAGCCCTAGCCTTGTTTCTTTCTTCTTCTTCCATGTCAAGCTTTGTTTCAAGTGCTTTTCTCTCTTCATCAATTTTTGCTTGCATTTCAACCATCTTATCAGGGGAAACTTTCTTTTTACCTGTTTGAGTCATTCAATTATCCAACAATCACTTTAGAGTCAATGTTTCAGACCAGTATACTAGTAGATTATCTTCATTTTTATAAAAGGTACATTCCTCAGTAATATAAGGTCAAAAATTAACATTTTAAGGAAATCAAATGAATAATTTATTTTATGTTCTTAGAAGAACTTTTAAACTAATTGCTAAATTCAAACTGTTTTCCAATTGTGCAATGATTAGGACAAAAGTAAGTAAAAGAGGAGCAAAACAGATGAGCAGAAAAAAAAAAAGAGAAAGATTAACAGGAAAGCCAAAGCAAACAAACAAAAAAACACAGATCTGTGTGTCCCAAAATAACAAATATGGTGGGAAAAGCAATATGATTATTTAGTTACTTTTTTCTGACAACCAGGTACAAAATAAAGTGGCTTCCCAAAATACTTCCCTATCATTTATTTAAATAAATAAATAAGTAAGTAAAAGGCACATCTACACTAATAAAAGAGAAAAATGGTAATTGGCGTACGACGCTACCCTTTTCATTGGCTAATCAGGGCTATATGCAAATTAACTGCCAACTAAGATTGGCAGTTAACTGCCAATAAGATGGCGGTTAATTTGCATATGTAGGCACAATGCAGGGAGGCAAAAGGGAAAGCAGGAAGAAGCCCCCTGCCACTGACAATGCCTCCCAGCCATGATCAGAGAATCAGGCGCCTTTGCTGCCCTGGCCAGTGATAGCAGGAAGTAGGGGTGGAGCCAGCGATGGGAGCTGGGCACGGTCGAAGCTGGCAGTCCTGGGAGCTAGGGGTCCCTTGCCTGGGCCTAAAGCAGAGCCCACAATCACGGGGCTGCTGCAGCTGTGGGACCCCACTGCCCGGGCCAGATGCCTCGGCCAGAGGCGATAGGCCTGGGCAGGGGCAGAGCGGGAGATCGCGGGGAGCTGGGAGTCCCCTGACCAGGCCTAATGCCTTGGCCAGAGGCATCAGGCCTGGGTGGGGGGCGCG